TTGTTTTCTTTATTTCCCAATTGTTAAAATATGTTTAAATCATTTACAGAAAAATTTTAATAGAAAGGAAAGTTGAAGGAATATCTTTGAGATAGAAATTAAAACTATGGTGCGATCTGTATCTCTAGACACCAGTGATAATAGGATTTGTGTTCCTGATACCAGGGATAATGAAATTCCTGTGTTCTTGGAACAGCTTGAGGTTTATCTTCCTCCTCTCAACTCAGGCTTAATAATATCTTGACTTCTTAGGAGGAAAATGCCATTAAGTTAGTGCATGTTCTTACCGTCTGTGACCTCTGGATCAATCCCACTCTATTATGGCTAAGACATAAACCAAACATTTCAATTTGGTTTTTAGACTGGCAAGCACTGATGTAACATAATTCTTTTCAGAAAGATAGAAATAATTTGAGAAAATGTCAAGGTGCTGCTTTAAAATGCCACCGTGTCATGTTTTCCTTTTAATCCTAATTTCCATTGGTGTGAAAAATGGATGGCAAAGAGAGGGAGGCAGCATCAGTAATCAACATCAGATCACTGACAATGTGATGACCATGTGGGCCAGGCTTAGGCAAGGGCAGGGATGGAGCACACGAGGCTGCCAGCCTGCTCTCGGGCCACCAGCATGGGTCTCTGCAAAGGCAGGCAGAAGACAAATGGCGAAACATTGCTAAGTGTAGGTGTCAAGCATGGTAGACAGGTACAGCGAAGAAGCGAAAATCTCTTCCGCCATCTATGGGTCAGATAAAATTTCACCACCTTCACGCTTAATGTGCTCATGTCCTGTGGGCAGAATTCATTCCTTTGGGCTCGGGACCGATTTTGTTAGAAGCTCCTGGCAGTTGACAACACACTGCCTTTTTCTGAGGAAACAACCAGAGGGAGCCCAGAGGGAGCCGAGCAAACAAAGGAGAGACTGAGTTCAAGATCCCCCAAGACCTTGGTAGCTTTTGGGGGCACCTGCCTGTGCCTGTCTCTCAGCGATTCCCGGAGACAAAGTATGTTGCTCGGATCTAAGAACAGACTCATCTTAAAATGCACTATTGTAACGGTTGCTAAACATATGATAGAAATTCTTCTTTCATTTTCTACTGCAGTAAAATATTTTTTATTTTTTTTAAAGATTTTATTTATTTGACAGAGAGAGACACAGCGAGAGAGGGAACACAAGCAGGGGGAGTGGGAGAGGGAGAAGCAGGCTTCCCGCTGAGCAGGGAGCCTGATGCGGGGCTCGATCCCAGGACCCTGGGATCATGACCTGAGCTGAAGGCAGACGCTTAACGACTGAGCCACCCAGGTGCCCCTGCAGTAAAATATTTTTTAAATAAAACCCCTGCCCAATTTAATAAAACTCACATCTGTGGAATTGTGAAACATTCTAGCAGAAAGTATTCTAGTACAAGTGATTTGTTTTGGCTAAATTTGATCTCTTCAATAAATGAGCAGGGATTGACACAGACAGAAATGATTTCAATTTCAGTAGTTTACATGTCATTTTTTTCTTTTTGAATTAATTTCATTTTAGAAATGTAATGCTATTCAACATATTTGCTAGTAAGACGAGTAATGAGATATGGGTAATGAGGTTAACTGGGGTAGCCTGCCTCTTCCCTTGGTCTCCCCCTGTCTCTGTGTTTGAGGGCCAATTTCAGATTTCACCCAGGGAGCTCCTGAGAAGCTTGAGAACCACTATAGGAGGACTATAAGTTTAATTCTGATATTCAATAGCACAATTCTGCTTTGATTACTTATACCCTTTTTTCCCCCAAATAAAAGTATCTAAAGAAATTTAACTTTCAGCATTAATGTTTTTTTTTTTTTAGCTTGGAATCATTAATCTTATCTTGTTAAAATTACATTCATTAAATGCACTAAAATATTTTATATTCAAATAAATAAATAACCATAAAGGTTTTGAAAAAGAATCTGGGTCATTAAAAATTAAAGATGCCTTGTTTTAACATATTTACTGATAAGACTCATGGATATCATTTTATAACCATGAACACTAGAACTAAAACTAATATTGTATATTAGTTTTATAGAAGGAAAGGGAAAAAGAGAATTAGCCACTTTACTGCACTGATTTCTTTTAATGTCCACTTTCCTGACTAACGGATTTAGCAATTATGATGACCAACACAGAATATTCTAGAACCTTTATGTTTGGCATCAGTTGTTACAATTTCCTCAATATGACTTTATATTCAATTGATGTCATACATAGAAATTATGTAAAATTCTGTTACATGGAGCTGCAGTTCTAAGAGTGGAGCTACCCTGGTGAGCTACTCAGGATCTGGGGTCTCTGGAACCCATCCATGCCAGGCACATCAAAGTTGTTTAAGGCTTGGTTTCATTGCGTTCAGATTAGTTCTCTTGTCGACATTTAACCTCTGTTTGAAGTCTCCAACTTCTTTGGCGTCCTTGTGTTCTCCTTTTGTGATTTTTTACTTGTTTTCCCCTATAATTTGATCTTGGCATTTTAAGATATGTTACTGGTGGTTGGCTTTACTGTTTTCTATAGTAAAATATTAAGTATGATGAGGGGATAAGTGCACTGAAGTGATAGTATGTGGAAGTTAATGAACCTGACATTACTCTATGTTGGGGATCTAAGCAAAGAAAGTCTTCTAAACTCTGCTAATTTGGCAAATTATAGTTTTCAGTCCACCCTGACTAATGACTGTATAGGTGATAGGTAGGTTATTATAATTTAGGTAGGGAATTATATACTAGCAGTTACATGTTCAAAATTCTATAGCTCCCTGCAAATGTTGAGAGCCCTATCTGACTTTATCATTTCAGTACCAAAGCTCTTGAAATCTTCCTTTATAGTCTTGTTGCTTCTTTGGCATGTATGCATTCAAGAAAGGATACCGGTTTATATATGAATAAAATAAAAACAAAACTAAATTCTTACATACAGAGAGATCTTTCAAACTCAGAAAAAATTAGAGCATAAATTAATTAACAACATCAGCCTTATAATGCATGGGACATTGCCAAATCAAGGGATCAAGCTCACATACATATGAGAATTACATCATTTATATCATCTCACTTTGAGAAGAATGACCCAAAGTCCACCCATCATCGTTTGATCAAATGTCGGCACTTTCTGCAGAATAATCTTTTTGTGGATCTTCCCTTTTGATCCATGAATATAAGTATGTGTTCATCTAATTTTGTTGAAAGGGGCACTAAAGCACCCTGAATTAGCAACAGGTCCCTAATGTGGAAGGAGACACCATGCATGCTGACTCTATCTCACTAGAAAGCGCAGGCTCTGGACAGGGGCAGCAATAGCAGGAAAACATTTGCTGGTCTCTGTAAATAGCTATCCTAAGTTGAAGTGGACTCAGCTGCTGGCACAATTTAGTTTAATGCAATTGAAATTTATAATATCCCACACTTGTTATCAGTGCTATACAAGACAAGAGCACAAAATATACTATCACTTCACATTCATATAGTTTATAAAGTTAATTCATATACACTTCTAACATAATGCCCATCTGCATTCATTCAAGATATATTTACCAAGTGCCAAACATGTGCCAAGATGGCCAGGTGACTGATAGAACTCATGGTGCCTGGTGCCAAGGGACTTTTAAATTTGGCCATCCTCCGCACCTGCAGGGCCCTGGGATGGCTTCTTTCTCCCAGGCCATTCTAAGGGTCTCTTTCCTACTTAATTTCTCTCTACATTCTGCATACCTGAGGGGCACACTGCGGGTGGAGGGAGGCCCTTTAGTCAGGAGGCATCCCTGAGAGATCCCATAGTTTATAATTTGAGGACTTCAATCTCAGTTCATTCTCCAAAAAATATTAAAATAAATTTAGAGATAAAATGAAGGTGATGTTCAGCACATGCATACCATATGCTGTGCTAGTTAAGTGAAGGTGTCCAAGGGAACTAAATACTATGGTGATGCTGTAAAAATATGGTTTTTGTAAATCTTAAAGAAGAAATCACAACTTATATTTGGCTAATTTAAATATATTATGTATTTATAGTATTTAAATATAATTTATAATAACAATTTATAATATGTGTTTATATTAAATATATGTTAAATATATTAATACATTTTAAGCTATATTTCGATTGGATTGGTATTTTACCTCTTTGAATATGGAAAAATGTAAATACTTATTTATGTCAACAAAATAAATAATGTGCCTAGTGGCTACAGAACAACGGCAGGAAAGAAATACTTGCATAGAAAGTGAAGGAGACTCATCAGAGGAAGCCATGTCAGACTGATTGCTACAACTATTGTCCTGGATATAGCCCGTGCCTATAACACACCTTCAGGATGCATGTAAAGAACAGACTGACCTACCTGTGATGTTCACTGCAGTATTTTTCTCACTATGACTATCTAGCAAAATTAAGACATTTTTATATTAAATGAATATTTTTTCAAAAAGTATACAAAATATTATCAAAGCATATAAAATTACCCAGCTATCTTGAAAACATGAGGATCTTTAAAACAGACTATGAATTCCTTAGGACTACTAGTGTTTTATCTGCTCAAATCTTTTGTTAAATGTTGAGTGTGGACATGAATTTATTGTATATTAAAATGAAATTTTTAAAAGAATGAGAAAGTAGCACCTGGATGGTTACTATTTATGGATTAATGAGATTAGAAAATGTGATTTATAGAATTTTACATATAAATGGATTAAATAATTACACACTTTTGACTCAGTCAACCACAAACTCGAGTGATACAATTTTCTCACATGTAGAGGTAGTGAATAACATAAAAAATTGCAATAGAAAATCAAAAAACCCAACATCCTAATAGTTCATAGTGAAATTAAGAAAGAGTAAATGTATAAATACTTTGCTACTAAGAATTCTGATCTGGACAGAAAACAAACATTAACTCCATTGAAAGAGGCTTCCACCAATACAATATGGATGAAGTGATACAACAAAGAGATCAAGAACATGCTTACCAGGAAAGGAAGCTACTTACTGGGGAAAACCACATCACTTTAAGAATCCAAATTGTGAGAGCAAAATTCACGAGGAGGATGATGAGTAAAAGAAGAACGAATAAGTAGAGGCAACGCTTTCTCCAGCCATAAATGCCAATTTTGTAGACACACTGGTTCTCTGGCCTCTGTATGTGGGTGCCTTCTGTGGTTGTAGTGTACTGTTCACGGACCATCTGCCACGGGGTAGGGAGGAGGGTGGGGAAAGGGAGAGGGAGGCGATAAGGGAGAGAGGGAGGGTCAGAGAGACACAGAGACAGGGAAGTAGAGAGAGAAAGGGAGAGATGGAGTGTGGAGAGATAGAGAGAGAGAGGGAGGAGAGGAAGGAGGGGGAGAGGGGGAGGGGGAGAGAGGGAGGGACATAGAGACAGAAACAGAGAATTTGTTTGTCAATACTGATTTACTACAAGTCCGACAAGATAATACTTTTTACCCCAATAATAAATTTCCAGAATTAATCTGAGTTTTAAAAAGAACTGAATATTACTTTGAAACCTGTCACTATTTCAAGCACAGAGTGATATTTAATCTATCATTCAAAATAGTTTAGATACTGCCAATTCATCTGAAATCCAGTGACCATTTTTTCAGATTTTAACCAATACATTTAATATATATAGACAACTTTCAAAATTCTGCAGGGCTAATCTTGGAATGGAAGCATCAACCTAAAATAATCGACTTACCAAGTTTTTATAAGATTCAGTGGGAGGAAAATCAAGCTGATACCTATGTGTTTTTCTAAAAATGGAATCCAATTATTTAGTTTTTATGTCAAATAATTAAATCACATCTTTCTTCAGTTGCTAAATTACTCAGAATTAAAGGTTCTCTTCAAGATACCTACCACACTAATTTTTGCCTATAATAAATTTCCCCAGTATTGACCTACTTCCAAGAACAATCAGAATGTATACATGCATACAAATGTTTACAAGTGTTCATTGTTTTATGTAAACTAGACTAAGAGTTTTCATAATAATTTCAACTCTATGAGGAGATTTTAAAGAATTATTTTTTATTTCACTTCACAACAGTGGAAAGAAGAAAGTGGTTTTAATTTATAAAGTGAAGATTAGAGATTATTAAGACTTTCCTGATTGTAAATGCAGTAAAATGATGAATCAGAACATAAAGTATTCTCCTCTGGGATTTTTTTTTTATGCAAAGGTCTTATGTTTATTTTTAGGAATGGTTTGGAGATGCCCTTATTAAAAGAGGTCACAGTCTGAAATAATTCTTTAAATCTCTCTCCCACTCAACAACTGGATTTTCCTATGTTCTATTTGATTATATAAAACTGTGCTATTCATCACATAGGATTTTCAAATACTCAGGACAATCTACATTATTCAAAACCTAAATGCTTACTGATGTCATAACTGGCATAATTTATTTGCTCATTTCTTTGAGCTCCTCAGTCTTCCTGACATTAGAGTCTACCTCATGCATGCAGTTCCTCCAAAGTCCAAGGAGTCATCCTTGCTTTTTCTCTTTTCCCTTCAAATTTCTCATATCTTATCGGCTCTGCCTTAATATGTATCCCGAATGTGCCCACTCCTCTTGCCCCCACACTAGTTCAAGCCACCACAACCTCTCTTACCTGCACTCCTGGGAAACAGGTTTCCCTTCTTTCCTTCCAGAAACCATGCTCTACCCAGCAGCCAAATACGCTAAATGAAAGCTAGCTCCTATCATTCTGTTCTTTCAAACCTTCTAATGGCTCTTCCCCACACTGAGAATATCTGAACTCCTCTGTCACCTGCCAGACCCTCCACGAATGGCCTTTGCTTACTTCTTCAACATCATCTACTACTACCATTTTGTCTTTTGCTCACAATGCTCCATCTACTCTTTCATCGATCAGGTTAACTCACCTCAGGACCTCTGTCCTGGGCATTCTCTCCACCTGAAACACTCTGCTGGCTCCTTTGTAGCTTTCAGTGGCAGCTCATATGTCATTTCTTCAGAGAAGTATTCTCTGGGCACTCAGGTCACTTTCCATTGCCTCCGGCTATTACACTTATTTCAAAGTGCTTATTATTATCTGTAATAATGGTGGCAACTCCAGAATTTCTGTGAGGCACAGGCTGAGAGACTGCAATTGGATTGGGAAGGGTGGGCAGGGGGTCTGAATTTATAGCAAGTGTACTACTTTACAGCATCGTTACAGATCGGTAAGAATAGCCTTCCAAGAATGTGTGTATACAGGGTTTCCAACTGCTACATATTTCTATTCCTGCATAGGGTTTCCTACTGCTGGTGTAACATATTATCACAAATCTGGTGGCTTAAACCAACACAATTTTATTATCTTACAGTTTTGGAGGTCAGAAGTCCAAAAATGGGTCTTTGGGGGCTAAAAATCAAAGTGTGGGCAGGTTTGTATTCCTTCTGGAGGGTCTAGGGAAAATCTGTTCCTTCTTTTTTCCAGCTTCTGGAGGCTGCCCACACTCCTTGGCTACAACCTCTATTTATGTTGCCTCAGCTCCTTCTCTGACTCTAACCCTGCTGCTTGCCCTTCATAAACACCTTGTGATTACACTGGGCCCACTGGGGAATCCAGGACAATGCCCCCATCGCAAAGGCCTTAACATAATCACAACTGCAAAATCCCTTTTATCATATAAGTTTCCAGGGATTAGGACATGAACATATTTGGAGGTCATTACTCTACCTTGCATAGAAAGCTTTTGTTCACACTTACATAAAATGGGAAAAACCTTAATTTCCATTTAAGACAATTTTGTTGTGGCTTACAGGAGAGCCAGTAGCAATTCCATTATGAGGGTAGTCCTTAACTCCCCCTATTTTTTAAAAAATTTTATTTTATGTTATTATGTTACGTTAGTCACCATACAATACATCATTAGTTTTTGATGTAATGATCCATGATTCATTGTTTTCGTATAACACCCAGTGCTCCATGAAGTACCTGCCCTCCTTAATACCCATCCGTCCTGGGAATCTGTTTTGATTATTCACCTGTTTATTGACTCCTCCTCCTTCGAATGTAAACTCTTTGTGAGTCTTGTTCGTTGCTATGTCCCTAAAATAGGGTAACTGACAAATAATAGGCACATAATAGAGGCCTTAAGTGAATGAGTGAATGAAAAAACTGAAAAAAAAAACTATTGAATTTGAAAAACACTACTTGAGCTATCTACCTGCCAGGGACAATGATAACAAGTGGGGCTAGATAGATGGAGGGAGTCCTCTGAGTTACAGACTAAATAAAACATTCTATGACTTATGAACATACTGAATCCATTAAGAAAAGATTTAGTAATTGTGGTCTAACACTTTTTTTTATTATGTTATGTTAATCACCATACATTACATCATTAGTTTTGATGTAGTGTTCCACGATTCATTGTTTGCATATAACACCCAGTGCTCCATGCTGTACGTGCCCTCCTTAATACCCATCACCAGGCTAAACCATCCCCCCACCTCCCTTCCCTCTGGAACCCACAGTTTGTTTCTCAAGGTCCATAGTCTTTCATGGTTCGTCTCCCCCTCCGATTTCCCCTCTTCATTTTTCCCTTCCTGCCATCTTCTTCTTCTTCTTCTTTTTAACGTATAATGTATTATTTGTTTCAGAGATACAGGTCTGTGATTCAACCATCTTACACAATTCACAGCGCTCACCATAGCACATACCCTCCCCAATGTCTATCATCCAGCCACCCCATCCCTCCCACCCCCACCACTCCAGCAACCCTCAGTTTGTTTCCTGACATTAAGAATTCCTCATATCAGTGAGGTCATATGATACATGTCTTTCTCTGATTGACTTAGTTCGCTTAGCATAAGCGAACATACCCTCCAGTTCGAGCCATGTCATTGCAAATGGCAAGATTTCATTCCTTTTAATGGCTACATGATATTCCATTGTATATATATATATACCACATCTTTTTTATCCATTCGTCTGTCGATGGACATCTTGGCTTTTTCCATAGTTTGGCTATTGTGGACATTGTTGCTATAAACATCAGGGTGTATGTACCCCTTCGGATCCCTACATTTGTATCTTTGGGGTAAATACCCAGTAGTGCAATTGCTGGGTCATAGGGTAGCTCTATTTTCAACTTTTTGAGGAATCTCCATACTGTTTTCCAGAGTGGCTGCACCAGCTTGCATTCCCACCAACAGTGTAGGAGGGTTCCCCTTTCTCTGCAACCCCGCCAACATCTGTTGTTTCCTGACTTGTTAAATTTAGCCATTCTGACTGGTGTAAAGTGGTATCTCACTGAGGTTTTGATTTGGATTTCCCTGATGCCGAGTGATGTTGAGCACTTTTTCATGATGTCTTCTTTGGAAAAATGTCTATTCATGTCTTCTGCCCATTTCTTGATTGTATCGTTTGTTCTTTGGGTGTTGAGTTTAAGAAGTTCTTTATAGATTTTGGATACTAGCCCTTTATCTGATATGTCATCTGCAAATATCTTCTCCCATTCTGTCGGTTGTCTTTTGGTTTGGTTGACTGTTTCTTTTGCTGTGCAAAAGCTTCTTATCTTGATGAAGTCCCAATAGTTCATTTTTGCCCTTGCTTCCCTGGCCTTGGGCGATGTTTCTAGGAAGAAGTTGCTGTGGCTGAGGTCGAAGAGGTTGCTGCCTGTGTTCTCCTTCAGGATTTTGAGGGACTGCTGTCTCATATTTAGGTTTTTCAACCATTTTGAGTCTGTTTTTGTGTGTGGTGTAAGGAAATGGTCCAGTTTGATGCTTCTGCATGTGGCTGTCCAATGTTCCCAACACCATTTGTTGAAGAGACTTCAAGGACAATCTTTCCTGCTTTGTCAAAGATTTGTTGACCATAGAGTTGAGGGTCCATTTCTGGGCTCCCTATTCTGTTCCATTGATTTATGTGTCTATTTTTGTGCAAGTACCATACTGTCTTGATGATGACAGCTTTGTAATTAGAGCTTGAAGTCCAGAATTGTGATGCCACCAGCTTTGCTTTTCTTTTTCAACATTCCTCTGGCTATTCGGGGTCTCTTCTGTATCCATAAAAATTTTAGGATTATTTGTTCCATTTCTTTGAAAAAAGTGGATGGTATTTTGATAGGGATTGCATTGAATGTGTAGATTGCTCTAGGTAGCATTGACATCTTCACAATATTTCTTCTTCCAACCCATGAGCATAGAACGTTTTTCCATTTCTTTGTGTCTT